ACAGATTATGTTCTTACTGCATTAATATAATATTAACAAGACATAGTGCACAATAAAAATTAAGCTTTATTTAGGAACTTCGCGCACACTGCCCGACAGCCTGCCTGTTTCGCTCTGCTCGCTACTCGTAAGAAACTTCTCTAGGGTTGCCACACTTATCGGAGGGCGCAAGGCGCGCTCCTTATCGCCATCACCACAGAGTTTCCCCCCAGTTCCTTTAATGGCTATTCAAAGGAACGACATAGGTTATGAAATTATCTCAGAGTATCCGTGCTGTCGGGTATTTTTACATGATTACAAAATTAGAATAGATCAAAATGAAATTCAATATATAAAAAGGTATTGACACATATAATAAACATGAAATAACAAGAAATATGTTAAGATATGAAATTTAAAAAAAAAATGTTTTAAATTGTTATGTAAGAAGCAAGTTTCTTAGGGAAGTGAACATGTCTTCCCGATCTGGTGACAGTTTGTGTCTTAGAGAGTTCATTTGCAGATTTATTCTGCGAACTGTCTTTAAGTCTTTATTTGTTTTCAGTTCAGGCAAATTAGAGTCCAAAAGCAAATAAGGCTGGATTTCACACGGTCTATAGACACAGTAAGATTTCAGACCGTTAATATGAATTGTGAAAGTTTTGTCCATTCTAGAAAGGACTTTATGTGGACCTGTATATGGTTGGCACAGAGGTGGGCTTTACTCGATCGACACATAAGTATACATGCGTACACGACTTTAAGGATAGCATTTACGTAACACTTTTCTTGGCAATGTGCAGATGTTGCTATTGGATTTAATTGTTGCATTCTATGCCTAAGATTCGTGATAAATTGTGTGTCATACGGAGATATCTTAGATGACGTTATCATATCACTAGGCAGCTTGAGAGTTGTGCCGTACACCAGTTCAGCACAAGATGACTGTAGATCTTCCTTTACGGCTGTCCGAATACAACTGGTAGTGTTTCAGTCCAGTTATTGGTCTCGTGAGCCTTGAGAGAAGATTTTAAATGTCGATGAAATCGTTCAACAATGCCGTTTGACATTGGATGATAGGCTGTTGTTGTGATTCTGTTCGTACCCAAAATGCGCGTGAATTCTGCAAAAAGTGCGGATCTCATTGAGAACCTTGGTCTGTTGTTATGATCGATGGGCAGCCAAAACGAGATATCCAAACAGTTGAAGATGGCTCTGCAAATGGTTTCCGTTTTCATATCCGGGATGGGAATGGCTTCAGGCCATCTGGAGAATCTATCTATTAGAGTCAAAAAGGTACACGTTGCCTTCTGATGGAGGTAACGGTCCGACGATATCCATATGGATTTCTGAAAAACGTGCATCAGGAAGAGAGAATGTGCCCAGTGGTGCTTTAGTATGCCTAGTAATTTTCGATTTTTGGCAAGATTCACAGGATTTCACCCAATTTTTGATATGGCATTTCATATCGGGCCATACATAACGAGAACAAATAAGCTTCGTAGTAGCTGCAATTCCTGGATGTGACAGATTATGCAGATGATTAAAGATGAGTCTGCGAAAGGAATTCGGAACAAATGGACGAGGAATGTCTGTTGATATGTCACAAAGAATATTACCATCAGAATATTGGCACGGTTTTTAAATTCCAGTTTCAAAGATGATGTGTTGTTTTTGAGAAGGTCTTGTACCTCCGGATCATGCCGTTGAGCTTCCGAAATTTTTTAAAATCCAAAAATGGAGATTTTGTTATGGAATCAATTTCGATTCTTGAAAAGAGCATCAGCAACGAACATTTTTTTGAAACCTTGCATATGCCTAATATCAGTAGAGTACTGAGAAATAAAATCTAAATGGCGCAATGTCGAGGTGAACATTTATGAGGGTTCTGTTTAAAAGCATATATTAACGGTTTTTGATCCGTATAAATTATAAAATTTCTGCCCTCTAACATGTGTCGGAATTTCTTAATTTGCAGAATGAATTAGAAAATAATTCCCTATTCGTACGATTACCATTTCTGTTGACTTTTATTGAGTTTCATAGAGAAAAATGCTATAGGTTCCCATGTTTGTTGAGACAACTGCATAAGTGTGCCGCCGATTGCGACGTCTGAGGCATCTACCAGATGCTTAGCTGGGCTCCGGGAATAGGGTGTCTCAAAAGGGTAGCAACTAGCCTGAGCAATGGCATTTTTGGCAGCAATAAAGGCTTGTTCAGCATTCTCGTTCCAATTTAATTGTGGGGATGAATCCTGAACACGAGAAAGAACCAGATTTCTTTTTATTAATATAGCCTTCTAACAATTTTATTAAAGGAGAAAGAATATGTGCTGCTTTAGGTATGAAACATCTATAAAAGTTAAACATGCCTAAAAATCGGCGAAGCTGAGTGAGAGTGGTAGGTTGAGGAAAATCTAAAATACATTTGACTTTGTCAGGAAGAGGTTCAATTCCGTTTTCACTAAGGTGAAAACCTAAGAAATCAATAGATGTTTGACCAAAGGTGCATTTTGAAACATTAATGCAAAGTCCATATTCCTGAAGTTTTGGAAAATAAAGCTTTCAAAATGCCTGCAATGTTCCTCAGAATCTTTAGAGGCTATGAGCAAGTCATCGACGAAAGCGTAAACACCTTCTAAATCCCGCGTGACTTCATCTAAAACGTTTGAAAAGTCGCGGATGCATTGCATAAGCCGAAATTGCATACGGGTACTTTCGAATAAACCGAATGGTGTGCATATGGCGGTTTTGTGGATGTCGGCTGGGTTAATTGGTATTTGATGGTATGCCTTAATCAGGGTCGACATGACTAAAAATTTTAGTACCGTGCAATGCAGCAGTAAAATCGGCTAAGCATGGAATAGGGGATTGTCTTTTATTGTTTGAGCGTTCAATGCTCGATAATCTCCTACAGGTCTCCATTCCAGACTTCCCTTTTTGGAACCATGTGAAGTGGGGATGCATAATTGCTGCTCGAAGGTCTCAAATGCCCAATTGCATCATAGTTTGAAATTCTTGTTTTGCTATTTTTAAGCGATCTGGGCTAACCGACGAGGTTTTGCAACCACAGGTGGACCTTTAGTTATGATATAATGAACGGGTGTTATTTTAACAGGTTGGTTAGGATCTGGTAATCTAGTAACTGAAGGAAATTCTTTAAAATTTTGTGATATGGTGTATCACAAAAATACAGTTTTTACTGAATAAATGCTTGCATTTTTCACGCAAACGGACGGTTTTAAAATGGCGTTTTTAAATCTTTGAGACATTTGTTTCTGAGATCAGGCACCAATTCAAGAAATGGAGAAAATCTGCTCCAAGAATGGGTGTACTAACATTTGCTATAAGAAAAGTCCATGTAAACTGTCGTCTTAATTTGAAATCCAAAGAAAGTGTTTTTGACCATAAACATGAATAGTAGAAGAATTAGCAGCGAAAAGTGTTTGTTGGGACGAATTCCGTTTTTGAGAATTATTTGCTGGAAGTAAGGACACGTCAGAGCCGGTATCGACCAAGAATGAAAGGTTTGTTCTACGGTCACGAACGAACAGGCGACGTGAAACTTGAGGCAAAGAATAAGTCGCCTCTATTCTTTGCTGGTTTCGTTTCCCTGCCATGAACAAGGTTTTGTACATTTGTCATCTCTACACTTTTTCCCAAAACGTCTATGATACCAGCAAACAGAATAATCTCTCCTTTTGGAATTGCTTCTTTCCTTATTGCGATCTCCGCGATTTGGCGAGCGACCACGAGAAAGAGAAATGCGATCAATACGTTTGTTTATTTTTCTATTTGTTTAAATAATTTATCCTCAAGAGACTGGATCGACTGTGCGAGAAAACGGCACAAGTCCCTGGGGTTGGATTTACTTCTAAAATTCTGTCGGCAATTTCTGCAGCTTTATCTACAGTTAAATTGAAACCGCTGCCAAAATAGACTGAACAGTCGAAGGCAAACGTTGAAGGAATAATTCTAACATTAAGTTATCAGGAACATTAAAGATTCTGCTCGACGTTTCATATTTCTAAGCAAATCGGAAGGTTTCGAGAACCTAATTCTTCTCCAGATAATAATTGGCGAATTTCTTGCTGAGAAGATTCTCCTGAACGATTTATTAACTCAGTTTTAAGCTTTGCATATGGATCAATAGGGTCTGGTTCATAAGTAAATCCCGTACTAGTGATGCGATATCTGGAGGAAGATGAGAAACTACATAATTATATTTAGTAATGGATTCTGTGATAGGTTTGGGGGGGGCAAGAGCAAAGTACTTTCACACATAATAAACCATAAAGATGGGTCTGATCGGTTATAAACCGGAATTGGACGGCATGAACATCAGACATTGTGGCAAGGTTTTTAAGCCAAAATAAAAGCAAAAATTTAACTAAAGAAAATTAAATTAAATGATAAGTAGAAAACAGAATTATAAAATGATCTATAATTACTACTCATCTGTGATCCGGAGGATGAAAATCGATGTAATCCATTACTTCTGGTTTGGAGATCTTGAGAGTGATGGCTTGTAGTCAAAACCGAAAGTGCTTGAGAACTGTTCATACGATTTAACACAGTCCGGGTTACCATTATGGTAATTCCTGTTATGTTTTTACACCAATCCTCAAATTCCATATCACAGATTATGTCTACTGCATTAATATAATATTAACAAGACATAGTGCCAATAAAAATTAAGCTTTATTTAGGAACTTCGCGCACACTGCCCGACAGCCTGCCTGTTTCGCTCTGCTCGCTACTCGTAAGAAACTTCTCCTCTAGGGTTGCCACACTTATCGGAGGGCGCAAGGCGCGCTCCTTATCGCCATCACCACATATTAAGTAAAAAAACAAGCTTTATGCTGGCATAGTAAAATAAAATAAATTTATTCCGCATTTGAAAGTCCTGTCTCATTATGGTTAAATTATTAAATTTTGATACTGTGGGAATATTAAACTGTTGACAAATATGTGTGTACCAAGGTGTATTTAAATTGTATTAAATACATGCATCATTTTCAGGTGTCTTAAAATGAAGAAAGGCCCGAAGTTCATCACAGATTTTTTGATTCCTAGTTTGGATGAAAAAAAATTTGGCTGCCGTCTTCAGTGGGTGAATAGAGAAAAAGCTGAATTTCAATTGAAATGGAATCATAAAAATGCATCATATTGGTCTGAATATGATGTTGAAGTTTTTATTGTAAGTCTCTGATAAGTATTCTGTTTATTTTATTTTTCATTTATGAATACAGTACAAAGTCTGAGATCCGGACTCGTCGGGACTTCGGCGATTCCGGATTTGGAATTTTTCCGGATATTAGATCATCAGTTTAAGGCTTCTAAAATGGCATATCCTAACTAATATTATAAATGCAAATGTGAGTTGGTTTGTTTGTTACGCTTTCACGCCTTAATTACTTAACCGATCATCATGAAATTTTCAAGAAAGATTTTGAAAAGGTTATAGGCTAGATAGATATATTAGAAATAAATTTAGATTATATTTAAAATTAGATATATTAGAAATAAATTTGATATATTAGAAACGGTTAAAATGTTTGTGTGGTTTCAGCCACGCACCTGCGCGCGCAGACAAACGTTTACATCGTTTAACTTATCGTTATGAAACTTTCAACATTTAATGTTTAATCACTTTAAGCTATAAAAGATGAGCATAGTGTGTACCACGCACTTATGACCATAGTTTAAATTTAACAAATTACTTACATTTTAATTTTGCTATACTTTTTACATCGTTTAACATGAAATACTACAGTTTTTACAGCAAGATCTGTTAATTGTTTAGGAAACTACGAATGTCATACTATACTTAGCATTACGCCTGTCACATGTTAAGAGTGCACTGATGTTATAGAGTAGGTCTTCCCACAGAGAAACGCTTATAGTGTTAAAGTGAAGAAAGAACGGTTATGATTATTTGAAATCGCATTTTTTTCTGTGAAATATTGTTACTGTTTTTATTTTTCAAATAACTATTTTTCGTTTGTAAGGCAATTTTTTGTACAAGTTGTATATTTTTAAGTACTTTTTTACTACGCTCTTAACCAACATCTGTTTTAATTTTAGAGGTAAGATATCTTTGTTTATTTCTTTATTTCCGTTTTTACAGTCTCTCCCCCCACCCCGAAATGCCTCGCAAACATAAATCTAACATGTCTACGTAGGAATTCATCTCGGGCCCGGGCAGCAAAAATTGCTCTATTCCAAGAATCTTCCGTACATGCACAATTAAGAAGACAATGTTAAGGAAGGTGCACGAACTCAATATGTTCATTATAATGTAGTTTTTTTGTGACAACAGTGATGTTTTTTAATATATTGCTTTGAGCGTGATAACGCATGGAATGTTACTTTTTGTTATATTTAGAATGCTAAATAAAATAGTCCGTTGTTAATTAAAAAGGTTTTCTCTGCGAAATATATTACCATTCGTCAGAAGTTATTAATTAAGTCAACAAATTGATTAATTTCAAACAACTGGCGTCCGGTGACAGGACGGAATGGCTATTTGAAGAAAACGAAACATCAATTTCGTATTGGAATTTATCAAGTAAGTTTATGATTTATTTGATTATATTGGACATATTGAATTTAAAATCATAAAAATTTTATTACGAAAGCGTAATCCTCTAAGGCAATTGTTTACGATTACTGCCAATGCTTTAGATGCTGAAATTCTAAAGCCTGACGTGGAGGTTAATCAACTCCAAGTATTGAGCTCACAGTTGGAAGGAAAATTCAACAGGTTAGATGAAGTTCAATCAAAAATTTCCGAACGAATTATTAAAGGTGATTTTGGCTCAAGCTAGCAAAAAAGGAAATATAACTTTACCCAAACTTATAGAGACGCAACTCAGAGCTTTGGAGACGTTGGGGGTAAAAAGTGAGATTTATGCAACTATGCTGTATACCCTGGTAGAGTCTTCACTACCTGAAGAAATTCTGAGGGCATGGGAGCAATCTCACCAGCGTAGGAAAAGTGTTGCACACACTGAAAAATTGGAAAATTTATTACATTTTTTCCGAATTGAAGTTGAAAGTGAAGAGCATCTTCAGTTGGCGCGTACAAGTTTTTCTGCTCTAGATAAATTTGACTCGGTTCCAGCCACAGCAGCTTGTATTTATGCAGGAGATTCGAAGAAGAAGCAGCTTAACTTTTGTGTTTGGTGTGACAAGGAAACACATAATTCTTATGAGTGTTTTAAGCTGTGCAGCCTTTCATTGTAAGATAAGAAAAATTTACTAAGAAAGAAAAAAGCTTGCTTTAACTGCCTAAAAATTGGACATGTTGCCGAAAAGTGTAAAAGTTCTGTGAAATGCCTATTTTGCAACACACGTCATGTAACGGTGATGTGCAGAGAACTAAAAGGTTCTATAATTTCAAAAAAGGAAGCACCTAAAGTAGCTAATGAAACGAGTGAGACTTTATTGTCTAAAACTGCAAACAACTCTTCTCCAAACTATTATGGTGAAGATTGTCCATAATGGAAGAGCAGAACTTGTGAGAACGCCTTTTGACAGTGGGTCACAAAGATTCTATTTACGGAAAGACATAATAAAGAGACTAGATTTAGTCCCAATAGATCAAGAGACTTTGAGCCACAATCTGTTTGGTGGAGTTGAAACTGAATCTCAGGTCCATGGTATTTTTGATATCGAAATACAAGGAATGAAAAATAAATTCAAATACGAATTATCGTTTTTAGATAAAGACAAAATTTGTGGATACATTCCTAGAGTGAAACTGTTACTTTTTGTTATATTTATATGCATATATGTTCCTCACTTCGAGAACATAAAATCAAAATCAGTGATTCTGGTAGAGATACACTAAAATATCGGATTGATAGGAGCCGACTATTCCGGACAGTTGATAACGAATAACATCATTCCAATTGACGAAAACCTTATTGCCATTGAAACAAAATTGCGTTGGACCCTACAAAGCCCTGTGCAAAGTCATAATACCTTGCTTGATACCGTCGGACTTTGTTATTTGGATCTCACAGAACTATAGAATTCAGAGACAATTGGCATAAAAATTCCCGCGGAAGTGAAGACTAAGGAGAATTTAAACACTGAAACGATCAAATTTTTCCTAGAGAACATTAAAGTAATCGAGGGCAATGGGTATGAAGTCTGCCTTTGAAGGATAGTCATCGTATTCTTGGAGATAATAAAGATAAAGCGGAAAAAAGGTTTTTCGCCGATACACGAAGACTGCAGATGGTGAGATTTTTCGAAGAATATGATGGTATTATTAAAGGCTGGCACGAGGAAGGTGTAATTGAAATAGCTCCGAATAATAGTGATACTGGTCACTATTATCTCATCAAGCAGTAATCAAGGATTCCAGTCTGACTACGAAAGTGCGACCTGTATTCGATGCATCATTGAAGGATGAAAATGGGAATTCCTTGAATGCTTGCCTCGAAAAGGGGCCGAATTTTATAGAAATGCTTCCAGAACTTTTCATACAATTGGTATTATGTAAATAAAGAGTAGCGCCTGCCAAAGAAGTAACTATTCCCAGATTAGAGTTGCTTGGAGCACTTATAGCTACTCGGCTATATCGTCAAATCATTGACGCTCTTAAATTGAAAACGTGCCAAGTGTACATTTGGAGTGACTCATCTGTGGTAAAAAAAAAAAAAAAAAAAAAAAAAAAAAAAAACTCCCACTGGAGTGTTTTTGTGGCAAATTGCGTAGCTGAAATAAGGAGATGCACAAATCCGGACGACTGGCATTATGTACCAAGCTCAAACAATCCAGCTGATCTTCCCTCTAGAGGGTGCGATGCCAAAATGTTGCTACAGAGCAGATGGTGGGAGGGGCCAGATTGGCTGAAACAAGAGCCGGATAAATGGCCTCTCTCTGAAGTGTCAGAACTAGAACCTGATGAACTGCGTAGAGAATATGTTGTAATTTTCTAAAATTGCAAGGTGGGAGGATGTTAAGGAACGTGCAAGAACTAAATTAATACAGAATAATTTAATATGTTCATTATAATGTAGATTTTTTGTGGCAACAGTGATTTTTTTTATATATTGCTTTGAGTGTTATAACGCATGGAATGTTACTTTTTGTTACATTTAGAATGCTAAATAAAATAGTTCGTTGTTAATTAAAGAGGTTTTCTCTGCTAAATATATTACCATTCATCTGAAGTTATTAAATAAGTCAAGAAATTGATTAATTTTAAACAGACAAGAACAAGCAAGGCGACAATCTGTTTTGAGAACTGATGAAACAATTTCTCAAAGATAAGAAAGATTAGTGGCTGAAACTTCCCGTCAAGCTTCTATTAGAGCAGCTGAGACGTCTCTCCAAACACAACTCCGCTTGACAGAACAACTTGAACGCCAAGTTGCTTTGAGAGCTGCTGAAATGCCCTTTCAATGGAAAAACAAGCTGAACGACAAGCTGCTTTGAGACGCCTTTTCTGCTGCTGAAAAGCCTCTTCAAACACAAATTCGTTTAGAAAAAAAAAAACTGAACGCCAAGCTACTTTCAAAGCTTGAAACACCTCTCCAAACCCTCCGCTTGAAAGAACAAGCTGGAACATCAAACTGCTTTGAACTATTGAAACGCCTCTTCAAACACAGATTCGCTTGAAAGAACAAGCTCAACAACAGGGAGTTATTAGAGCAAGAGATACTTCAGAACAATTACAAGCGAGAAGAATCGTTCATGCAGAAATGCAAACCGTACACCGGCGAAATTTCATGCAATAACAATTGGTCCGTATTTAATGATTCTGGACTTCAATACGATCCCTCAATTGATTACCATAATCATCCATTAATTGTTATCGATTCAATGAGTAAAAAATACCAGTTTTGCGATGCTTTAAAATGGAAAGATGAAAGTGCAGGAATGTGCTGTTGCAATGGTAAAGTTTCGCTCTCTTTACTTGGCGAACCAGAAGAGTCGCTGAAAACTATATGATACAGATGAATCAAATCATTTTTTAAGTAAAATCAGAAAGCGCAACTCTTGCTTCCAAATGACATCTTTTGGAGAAGACAAAGAGATAAGAATGCCCTGGTTTTCACCACCTTTTAGCGTACAAGGCCAGATATATCATCGAATTGGTTCACTTTTTCCAACATGTAATGAACCACATACATTTTTGAGTCTATTTTATGGATAAAGAAGATAATAAAGTAAGCCGTCGTTGTCAGTATATTGTTGGAGTTGAGAGAGATATAGTATTGAAAATTCAAAGAATGTTATATGACCACAACGTTTTGAAAAATACCTTCAAAATTGCAATAGAAAACTGGCTTCGAGATGATTATAAAGTCGTCATTCATGCTGATCGAACACTCACGTGGCGAATATGAGAGGCGCTTTTCCCTTGGTCAACTATATGTTGCCTGTTCGCGTGTATCCGAAGCCAGGAATGTATATGTATTAGCGCCGAATGGAAAAACATATAATTTAATATACAGAAGCATCCTAGAATAAATACTCTTAGGTGCTACTTTGGTAGACGGTTGCACGGATTTTTGGCTATTTACGTTGGCGCGGTTTTTACAGTCGTCAGCCATCTTGAAAAATGCTGGTTTTACGTATTTCACGCATAGTAAAGTATTCGAAACTTAAGCAAAAAATAAATATCGTTAAAAATAAAGGATTAATTTTTTGTTGAAAACGTTTTTTAAGATGGCTGGCAAATGTAAATAAATACATTTTCTAAGAGTATAAAATGCTAAAGTAAGGTTAAATTATTACTTTTATATAATAGAATAAAAACACCGCTATAAAAACATTGCCGCCAACATTTAATTGGAATAAAAATTATTAAATTGAATATTAAAACTCATACCAACGTTTAAAGAATTAATTTTTTCAATTACTTAAATTCAAATCGTTTAAAATAAGTTTATGGATTAATGATTAACATTAAAAAGATATGGCAATAAATATCTCGGGAATTTTGAAAACAGTGTATTAATTTTAAAAAATTGAAATATACAATTAAAAGTAAAAAAAAATAGTACTTACATTTTTTTTTAAAAATTATTTTACCTGTCGTATATTGATAAGTACCAGAAAAAAAAAACGATCTCATCTGTTATCACATCTCGCACTATTGAAGAAGCAATTAGCGAGGTTTCCTCCAAAAATTTAAAATAAATTTCCTCTGACCTTGTAAACAATAAATAATCTTTGATTAGGAAAGCCAGGTTGCCAAACTAAGGTCTCGAAGGCAATTCTTTTATTCCGATACCAATAATTCTTGAGTAATTACCAATAACAACACTCATCTTCGAAACGGACATATACGTTCCATTTGAAATCTGAGGAGTTTGAAGAGATGAATAATAAATTTTAAAATGGCGCCGTAATGAACAAATATTCAGTAACTAATCAAGGAGCTGATTACATCACGCATAGAATTAAAATTATTTAAATAATCATTCATAATAAAATCATATTTAAAAAACGCACGATTAAATTGTATTTTAATACTTAACAGCCATAAATAATGTTTAAAACATTAGATTAAATTTATAGACATTAAAGCAATTACTTTTAAAATAA